CGCAGATGCCGTCTGATGGTTATTGGGCTGCAGTCAGCACCAGTAATGGCCTTAATTTGGGTAGAGGACCGTCCCGTGTCTTGACGGACAGCCAATCGGATCCTGCGGCTCAGAGCTGGTGAAATTTTTTTGACAGACAGCCAATCGGATCCTGCGGCTCAGAGCTGGTGAAATTTTTTTGGGTCTACCACTTGACTTTTTTGTTCCATAACCCTCAGGATCATTTAAAAATGCAAAATAACTGTCTTACTGCGTCCAACTTCAGCAGCGATGGCACATTGTGAGAGGCCTTGCTTATGCAGCTCAACAATCGTACCACGTTCAAAGTCAGTGAGCTTTTTTGCTTTTGCCATCAGGAGGTCTTGACAGTGTAAAGACTTGACAGAAAATGACATGGAATCCAGATTTTTGCACAGCTTTTGGCTTTTAAAGACGATTGTCTTAAACTTTTGATCAGCTGAAAAAAAATCATGTTTGAGTGTAAATGCAGTTTTCAGAAAATTTCCTGCTCAAAAGTTCTTGTCTCTTACGCTGATTTCTTCTTTTAACATTGTGAAGCTCTACTTAGAACCTTCTTAAGATCCAATAGTGCAAAATGCAAGTTCTTGCACTTTTTTGACTGGTCTTACGATTTTGATCAGGAGTGTATTTATTCTGTCATGGCTGCAACACAGATGGGACCTAAATTATATTTGCTGGAGAAGATCTTTCAGCAAGGCTACATTTCTAACCACCACACCACAATGTAGCTCACCAGGAAGACAATAGAGGAGTATTCCTTTGCTTTTAATTTCCCTTTAATTTGGTTGTATGCTTAGACAGTCACTCCACCACACTGTGCAAACAAATGCAGCATGGTTGAACTAAAACAAGTTTTGTCTTGAGGCTTAAAACAAGATGCAAATACAAACAAGTCAAGTAGCTACAGTCACCACAGATACAGTATATCTTACTTATTAGGGGTGCACCAAAAAATTGTTTTACATCAGAATCGTGATTCTCATTTACAAAGATTCAGAATCGATTTAAAATGTCCCAAAATAAATAAATAAAGAAAGAAAGCAAATCCAATGGCTGGCAGCCTCCATTTTGTACCTACTGGGACGACCTGACGTCATCACGCAGCTGCTTCTGGAACATATGAATGTGCAGAAAGCACCAGAACAAAGAGGAAACTTCCAAACTGGAGGAAAAAGAGATTCAACTGACCCTGTCTTCACTGACTGCAAATATTTGGGCTCATCTTGTTTTTTACTGAATGAGTCCGAGTTTGACGAGCAAGGTTTGCAAAATGAAGATGAAGCACTTTGGGAACACGACGAATGGGCTCACGTTATCAGTTCTGAATTAAAAATCGATTTTTATGGTTTTTAATTCGATTTTCACGGTCTTAAAAATCAGAATCGAATTGAATCGTGAGAGAGTAAAAGATTCCTACCCCTATTATTTATTGTCAGGAACTGAATAGGCTTTTTAATGATTAGTGTGAAAGATTTCAGTATTTAGCTTGTGAAGATGTATTGAACACAGACAGTGTCGTATTTAGTAAATTTCTAATTCAGTAGTCTCCAGATTTTATGTTGGACCTCACAGCTGGTCATAAAACACCAAAATTTGAGATGATTTCCTAAAAGCTAAAATAAGTTTTCATAATAACTGGTCACAATAAGGGGTTATTGGCTTCCCTTGCAGTCTTGTCATAATACCCACCAGTTCTTGTTCATTCATAAAACTCTACAAGGTCGTTCACCTCCTGATTTAAATCAGTTACTGCAGCAAGACCCATTCCTCCATTATTACCTTGAAAATTCCTAAAACGAAGACTTCTTTTGGCCTCATGCATCTCAGTTTTGCTGCTGCAAATGATTGGAACGCTTATCAAAATACACTGCATCTCAACACTTTCTTTTCCTGTTTTTAAACTAAATAACTAACTAATTAACTAAATAACTAACTAAATAACCTTTTTATAGAATTATGTAATTGTTTACAGAGTAAATGCATTGCTCACTATGTGTGTAAATGTTGTTGCCCCTTCCCCATTTTCCTCTTTTAAGCATTTGAGCCCCTTCAGGCTAACTAACTAGTTATAAGAAATAAAAACAGTAACCATCAAGGCGTGAAACATGGCTCTTTGTGTTGTCATTATGCACTTGTTTAATTTATGTTTGTCTATTTTAACATGCCGAAGTGATGCTGCTGCTTTATGCGATGGAAGCTAAAAAGTTCTGAAATAATTCTAATTGTGTCCAAAAGTATTGAGTATTGTTCTGTCTTGCATTTCTGGGAAGTACAGTTGTTTAGATAGTAATTAAGTAAGTCCTCTATTAAAAGTAGTTGTTTATATATAT